TCTTGTGTATTTGAAATCTGAAAAAAAAAGAAATTAAATTTACGCATTGAGAAAGTTTTAGCTGTTATCAGATCAAATTTAGAAAAAAAGGGAAGTCTTAGAAAAAAAGGAATTTGAAAAAAAAAAATAATAATAATAATTAATTTCCATAATTTCCGTAATAATTAATTTCCACAAGATTGTATACCATTTTTGTAAGCCAACAAAAATGGTTTGTTTTGATATCAAAAAATTTCAATCCAAAAATTTGAATTCAGAAAACTTAAATGATCAGTGGAGTCCGAATGGTACGTACAAATATTATCAATGTAAGAAATTAATTAAATTAGTCGAATTTCTACCAGATTTGCTCATGTATTAGACCTTCAAATACTCCAATTCTAAATAATTGCATAATTATGAAGTAGAAAAAGGAGATAACCATAATGTGAGATTGCTGTGGATGCTGAGCACAAAATCAACATACATAAACTGAAGAGAGGAGCACTGCAGGTCGCCCTTGAAAATATGTCATTACCGACACTCACTTCCCGATCAAACTGTCTTACCTCCTCAAACCCACCTTTCCCTGGCCCTTCGTCTTTTAAATATGTATTAAATGGGTGCCTGTGAATATATGAATCCTGATGCATGTTCATCTATGTGGATGTGTGCTTCGCCTAGCAAAATCCTACATAGTTAAAGTAAATTTTAGCTCTATAATCAAAAATAAGAAATTATGAACGATAGTGGTATTTTATAGTACTACTTCTTTCAATACTTTACGAAATTTGAAAAATTATAACGACATTTTATGAGTGTTAGTCCGCGACATAATATATTTCAATCCTGTCTCAACAATGTATCTTAACAACGAGGTGTCTTATACAACACTCGAACAACGACCTCTAAAGAAAACTTATGTGTCGGTCGCCAAACTACTTTCCTTCATCCCTTAATCGAAATTGCCGGAAAAGAAGGAAAAACATATTTATAAACTTTTAGTATTCAGACAATTAAAACGTCCTAATTGTCGCAATTTAAATAAGACTACTGGATCTTTTTCTCTTCTCGAAATATGGATATATGGTATCAAGTAAACTTATCATCGCACGAAGTCTGAATGAACCACTTAGATGTTAGACCCAGCTGCACAATATCAAGTATTGTAAATCAGAACATTATCCCTTATATGCATGCATCATTTTCAAATAGTCCCACGACAACGGCTCTTCTCTGGGTCATCTTGAAATGTCACAACAAAACTGTCAACAAATCCCTTCTGCATATTCAAAATAGTAAACGAAAAAAGTATTGAAATAATGCAAAGATGATCAATGCATACACGAAACACTATATATACAACTATCAGAATAGGTGAAATTACCAGACACCGAATATTTACTGATCTCCAATATGTATTTTAATCTGCCTTATGATTACATTATTTCTATCTCATCTATTACCATGACATTTTGCTGTAAAATATTAACCTGAGAAGACGAGTGAAAATTATGTCGTTACCAAGAGTAGGGAGAATTAAGTGATAGCAAAAAATGTTGAAATTTCATTCCTTTGTGCTTTTTAGTAAGAAAGAATAAATTTAAACAAATGAACATAACAAAAAGCACAATCGTCGTACACATCAAGCCATGTCTTCTTCCATCATTTCTTTCCCCTATCATTACGGAATCTCTCACTCTCTCTCTACTAAAAAAAAAAAAAGAAAAAACTTGCTTTCCCATTCGTTTTTTCTATTATATTCGAACAACATGGCATACATCATTGCTCATCGATTTTTGATTTAAGAAATCAAAAATCTTATTTTGCAGAAGGTTTTCATCTTTTCTATATCCAAAAAAGTCCGGAAAATAATAATAAACTTGATTATTAATGTTAATTTTTCTTTTCGAAATTTCTATAAGATATCGAAAATTTTCGAAATTATATCTCATTGCTCTCATCTATCAGATTCGAATTAACCGATAACAGTGAACTTAATAGATATGCAGATACTACAGGAATAAAGATCACCCTTACTGCAAACTATGTCTTCACTTGCAGCTATGACGGTATAATAAAAACATGCCAGGTAAGAATAAAAGTCCATACCTTCTCCTATTCCTTTATTCTCCTCCAACATTCAAGGACATTCAACATAGCACATAGTAGAACGTGGAAAAGAAGATTGATTCTTAGTGATAGAGAAATATTTTCTGAAAAATGAAATGGATGAAAATTACAAATGACAAAATTCAAAAGAATTTTTCAAGACATTTGTATCTACTTCTCTTTTCCATTCATAAAATTATCCAAGATATCAAAGTTTTGTATTCAGCGAATAAATTATATTCAGGAGTTCTTCCTCCAACTCTATTGCATCCGATTTCTGCTTTTTTCTTCCATCATCAGAAAAGCAATGAGTGTTCAATACAACCATAATAGTTCTATAAAATGGACTAAGAAGGGAATAACTCATTATATCTCATCTTTGAAGCCTCGTAATTGACCGTGAATTATGTATATAACAATATTATATTGTAGCAAAATTTTTTTTCCCTCTTCACTTCTCTTTTGATTGTTTTCTTCTTATTTTCGTTTTTGATCATATTCGTCTTACTGTATCTCCTTGTCTATTCTCAATTATAACATGTACGTCAGATACATCAACATAGGTAAGATATGAATTAACAACAAATTCTATATTTATAATCAGAATTATCTCTAATAGTAGGGTCAGAAATTTGGAAGCCATACCGTTACAAATTCGACCACATAGTATTTGTCAGTTCCTGTTTTCTTGAAGGTAATTCGTGAGGTAATGCAGGTCATTTACCACTCCTCTGATATCCACTTCTCGTCATATTATTGAAATGTCATCAATCTCCCTTCAACTAATAAAACAATTTTATTTCATTCGGTAAAAAAATAATTTTACTAGTTGAAACGTTACATAAAGATATGCTCTCTGCTAAATATATGCAACACTGACAACAGTTCTCTTGCTAAATATTTATCAACCTGTACACTCAATAGTGTTGTATCTTACCGGTGGTTGAATGTTGTGAGACCTAACCTAGAATTACCTGATAAATGTATGAATGAATTAGGTACACAGAACTGAAACGAATAAAATTTATTTGATAAAATGGATCGATGAATTAGAAAAAGACTGAATATTTGTAAACAGAAGCTTTTGAAAGGGAGATATTGTACAGTATCAGAGTAACAGAAACAGTAACAACAAAGATGACAAACTGCTGCAATATTGTAACAACTGGCACCGCTACGTACACTCTCACGGATGTATATACTATTCGATTCAGAGCAGTTTTAACTCAATTCACTTTATGAAAATGATGTTGATAGTTGTAAAAATATCTAGAATGAAAGAATAACAAACAAATGGTTATCTCCGCAATTTAATTAAGCATTGTCGTCACCGTTAAAACTATATTATCAGTGGCAATTCATACCTATTCACTAGTGTCGTGAATGAAAGTCAGACAACATAACGCAAATATTAGCGGCACTTTTCGGATGAACATTTGACACGAAAGTATTTTGGTTGACAACTTCCGAACCGATAAATTTGAAGAAAGCAACATATACACAATGTTTTCGAATTACAAAGAAAGGAAATAATTCAGCAAACTAAGAGATTTCAACGCGCACATTAATGGTCAATTAATTCTTGTCAGATGTCATTTGGTCCAAAGGAGCAATAAATTTAAGATGTTGATAACACAAAGGAATAATTGCAAATAACTGTAAATCAATTTTTGAACTCATTTATTTTATCATGACTGCACACAAACACACATGCACGCATACACACACAAACATATACCTTACATATATATTACATAAACACTTGCACATGCACCTACAAACACACGCAATACACCCATAAATATCTTGATTGTTTCGACGACTGATTCTCGTAAAAATTCGTTTTCACGGAAAAAGCACTAACTTAGGGGTTGAAAGATATTTTTCTTTTAGGAAAAAGTTCCGTTTCTTACTGAAATTTTACCAAATTAAAAACATTCTTGAAAATATCACAAAATAACACATTAATGTTGCTAACAATAACGAATACAAACAAGATAGACAAGCTTGAAACTATTATCTGAGATCATTTAGGTATAGAATAAGAGCAAAAGATTTTGGAATATAGCCTTGCATAAAGTTTGTTGTAATATATACATTTAGAGTATTCTTGATAGTAGCGTATATTCGACAGAGATTTGAATAATTAGGTTTACAGTATCCCTGATCTGGAACAATTATTGCATCACTTAGAAGAAGATTTATAAAGCAATAATTAATGGTAATGAATAATTGATATTCAATCCGTCAAAAACTAAAAGAGCAGGGAGTGATAGAAAAGTTACACAAAAGATTGCATGCTGCTGATTGATTAGGAATAGACACAATTAACTAAACAATCTCGTCTTTTGCACCATTAAGAGTCATGCGGTGCGAAATGGTGACACATCTCAAGGGATATACGAAAAGAGGTTTGTTATGTGAACGTTAAAATCAAATTTTTTTGCCGAATGAAAGTTCTTGCAAAAAAAAAAAGTGTATAATTCTAAAAGGATCATCAAGAAGACTGGATAGGAAACCTGAATCCACTGAGAAAAAAAATGCATAAAATACTAAAGACCATTTAGAAGCAACATTTAGAGATATAAATTAAGCAAAATGGAAAACTCCAAATCATAATTTCCGTCATGTAAGTATACAAATTCAAATGGAAAAAAGTAAATTCAAGAAATAAATGTTTTTTTTCCTCGAACATGTCAAATAGTATGCAAATTTATTATGAAAATCAAAATCACCAGGAGAAGTGAGCATGATACCCACCAGAAACCCCAAAAACTTTCTCTCAAAACATCCGGTCCAGTTATTGCCAACCCTAACATCTCTAACGCCAACGTTCCTGCGGCAGAGCGGCTACAGAAATAAAACATCTGGCCATCAGCCAATTTCCCACACCCATTGGCGTTGTGCCAATGGAGCGGGGAATCCCTGCACTTCTCCGTGCCAATAGGAAAACGTCAACAAACACAGCTGTCATAGATCGATTTACATGCACCCGTGAAAATTACGGTACTGAAAGCGCCAAATTCAAATTGGCAGAAGTTTCCAGGAACAATCACCAGCAGCCATTGCGCAACTCCACTTATTGTATGTTCGCAATTGACAATAACTGTTCTTCCTCAACATCGCCATTTAAAAATTTCAAAGAGACAAACACGCTTCTCCTTATATCGTACTTTCCCGGGAAATACCATTCCTTATGGTCAAACGCGCATCTCATGCTCGTCAAACATTGAATCTAATAATGGTAATTCAGCAAGACCATACATTATTCGACACTCTCAATCAATTAGCTTTGCCCACGGCCTTTCACTGTTTCAGCTGGTAAAGAACTACGTGACAAAAATACCGGCAATCAGTTTATCACTTCGTTTCACCTTATCTATTCCAAACAGCTTACTAAGTGAACGCTGTCATCTGAATCACACATTTGAAATGTAAATGATAAAACATGAACATTTGACCTTCATACTGATGAAATGTCAGCACAAAATCTTAGCCACAACGAATAACATTAAAAAAAGAAAAAAAATGACGATAACAGCAACCAACAACAACAACAACAACAAAATAGTGGACATATTTCTTTATTGATTTCTTCTGAGCAAAAACAACGAACAAAACTTTATGAGCATTAACTGTTTATATAAAATGCATGAAAAAGAACAGCATAAAACAATAGGAAAAAAGTCTTTCATGTTGAAGTAAATTAATGCTATACAAATAAAGAAACGAACTTACGTGAGAGATCGTACTCCAAGAACAGTTCCAACTGAATAACTTATAATCTTCAAGATCTAAGATCTAAAAAAGTATCGAAAAAGAATTAAATGAAATTAAGACCCAAAAAGACAACAGGCGTGTTTCATAGAATCGCTGTGTACTCTATTCTGAACATCCTGAACATTAAGTAGAACATCCAATGATATGTTATTTAAGACTCTCTGATCAATTTCGAAAAATGCTTTTATTTCAGCAGCAATGGATGTTCAACTGGAGTGCCTGATCTCACAAATCGATGTTATTCATTGCAAGACATAATATTGACCTAAATAACTCGGATGTGAAAGAGTAACATTTATCCCTACCCCACTTCCCCCTCTTTAAATATCAGCCTTTTATGAGCATGGAATTGAACCATGCTAACTATGTCTGAGAAGCTGAATGGAAAACTGTATTAAGAAATTCATAAGAAAAAAGGTTTTATTAAAATTTTAATATATGAATATCGATATATTAAAGTGAATATTCAATTCCTTTCCTAATTAGTCATATTCACCAGAAGTAACACTGAAAGTATGCTGTTCAGATTATGACTTTAAAATAAATACTATTCTACCGCGCGCTCATCAACATACAAGCTTCTGTCAATTCTAGTCAGCATATATATAAGGACTTCAAACTTCATTTTAAAAAATAGAACAAAATTGTTGAAAGACGTTGCTTTTTGGCGACAGCTAAACTAATAGCTTGAATTAATTGATAATACAAGCACAAAAAATTAGTTTGCATAACAGTGCTCATCTTTAGTAATAAACATACATTTTAGAATGTTTTCCAAAATTTCAAATCTTCAAAGAGCAATAAATATTCTTATCTAACCTTAACTTCCTTTACTCCTAATATTTAATACTGCTGGCATATAAAATGTTTCTTTTAAAGAGTTTGAATAATTGGTAAGAATATTTGTCTATCCAATAATTTAAGGCTTCGAAAGAAATTTAACTTTTTCTCTATTTACCAGATGTTAACAACCATTTAATCCTTTGAAATATCCTTAAAATTCATGAACAGATTCCAGTGTTATCAAATCAACGTCATCATTCGAATTTTACCTTTATGCACAACTGGAACGGCTTTATTAGGCATGCTAAATACTATTAAACAAAAGTCAACGTTGTAAGGCAACAGTCTACTTTATCTCAAGAATAATTATTTACAGCTTTTTATTTATTTTTTATTCTTCACTCTGATCTCATAGCTATAAATAAATAAATATTTCAGTAAATTACCTATCGAATAAGGATTGCAGTAGTCTGTTTCACCCAGTTCAACTGAAATTCCCAACAAACAAATATAACCTGGATCTCACCACTGTTTAAAGGTTGCCACGTTCATGCCGTAGAAAGAATATTTTGGATAAAAATTTAGGACAATAGAAATGAGAATTCCATTGAAAAATGAAAATTCCCGAGCATCTAATATTATTTTGTGTCACTTAGCATGACAAAAACTTTTTTAAACGCAGCAAAACTATTTCACAAAAACTACTGAAAGCTAAAGATGTCACACATTTGATGTAGTAATTTCGGAAGTATTACCACTCATAGTATGAATTGGATAACACAAGCATCGACAGTCTCAGAAAAGTTAAAGTGTCCAAAAAGGATGAGAAAAAACTGACAAATGCACGCAGTACAATCGCAGAGTAAAATTCTATAGTTATTTTGTCACCGTGACAATCTTTTATCTTTTTTTTCTTTTATAGAGAAATGAAAAATAAAAAGAAATGAAGTAAAACCTGTCGAAGTAGAAGTTAATGTTATCATCCAGCTTGTTACATTTGTCAATATACTATTCTATAAGATGGATCAATTCATGAATGATTAAAAGAAAAAAAGAATTTCGTATTTTATTTCGCGCTGTGTAGGATCGATAAATGGCGAAAACGCAACTGACACCTAAACTTCCTGGTCTACCATATTATATGCAAAAAAACATATTAAGCAAATCAATAAAACACTTAACCAACAATTATAATTGATATTTAACGCTGAAAGGAATTCCCGAAAAACCAACTGCACTTTAGCAATCAATTATTGCCGTAAATTACAGTAACGCGCAGCAATATTCAACTAATACCATAACTTATGCAGAAAATTTAGTGGCTGTTTGCTCTCTTTGAATATATATATTGATACTATGTACTTAAAGGCCTAACTTACCAGAACATTTCCTAGATGAAATGCATTACAACATAGCCAGCATATTTATTCATATCATATGTATATGTGCCTGTTTATCAGTTACCAGTAGTCCAATTCGTATACTGAAACAGATTATAAATATAAAAGGGAATAAAAAACACAATCTGCATTTGTTTATATTTATATATGTGTCCAGTTTGCTTCTAAATCTGATTAAGACACATTTGACATGCTGCAAAAATTTCTATTTTGCCAGCAACTTCAGACAAAAACAAAATTCATGAGGTCTTGTTCATCTTGAGTTGACAGCCTCATTACCATATAAAGCTAGTACAGCACCAGCTACAATAGCAAACGCGTACAGGTAAACATTCTGATGAATTTGACTATATCTCCTGATATTCTTGAGAATTAAATGAAATTAACTGAATTCTAAAAAATAATCCGCTAGGTATATATATATATATATATATATATATATATATATATATATAGTACTAGTCGTACGTAACGAA